CAGGCGTTCAATTAAGCAGTGCAATCAATTGACTGAGTTTGGAACTGGAATAATGGATGATGAGATCGGATTTTACTGATGAGACGTGACGGATTAATTATTGGATGTATTGATGTTTGTTCATTTACTGATGTATTGTTGTATTGTTTTAACTGCTTTAGTGATTGTTTAGATGCTAATGCTATGCACTTTGTATATTGTCCTGTTGTAAACCGCACTGAGTCGCCTACGGGCTGAGACAGTGCGGTATACAAATAAAGTAAATAAAGTAAATAAATAAACTGCTCTGAGTCCCCTTCAGGGTGAGAAGGGCAGCATATAAATATCATAAATAAATAAATAATAGTTATATGTCAGTGTTTAGTTATTGTGATTTGATTTGATTTTATTATGTATGTTGGTATTGGATTCTTGCCATTAATATGTTGTAAACCGCCTTGAGTCCCCCCAGGGATGAGAAAGGCATTATATAAATATACTAAATAAACAAATAAATACATACACATATACACATTCTAAATCTCCTTCACATCCAACCATCACACAAGCAAAACATGAAATCTACCACCATATTCTGTTCCAGAAAGACTCGAGCAACAGTTTGAATAATAGAAGCTGGTACACAAAATGGCCCACAGGCAAACCCTAATGTGCAACTATCAATCAATTACTGACACCGCAGTTGAGTTCTATGAGCCATATCCAACCCATGGGTCATCTGCCGAGCACCTGGCCAGGCATATGCACAATCAATGGCCATAAAAGACAGGCTTGTCTGCTATTTAAAATTCAGAGTACAGAGTCTGTGTACTTTCTCCACAGCTCAATCTGTTTCTTATTTCTTGTGTATAAATATCCCCAAGGTAATAAGGAACTGATCTGCTCATAGATTCTCTGTGGAAAAACAACTCTAGAATGGTTAATACCTCAACATGTCCACTGGTGATTATATAAATTTACACTACTAAATGTGATGAAATGATAGTCTTCTCCTGTATTTTTCTAGGACACAGCCAACTGTCCAGCTCAAAGGATTCCTCTAGGCCAGAGTTTTCCAAACATTTCATATTGATGGCACACTTTTAGATATGCAACATTTTGCAACACAGTGATTCTGTTTTACTAACAAACTGGAGGTTAAGCCAACATCTTATAAGAGACACAGACGCAAACATAGATTGTAATAATTAAATGCATGGGGGCACAACATAGCTCATGAAACATTATGTAGAATTAAACATAGAATTAAAAAGATTACCTAAGATTGAAGTAGAATTTTAAGCAATCGAGAAAGACAATCAAAGAATACATATTTAAGAGAAATGTAGGATCTATCTGCTAACATTAGCCTTCCACAGCAAATGGTCAGTTACCAAAAGTAGCCTCTCTGAACGAATGAAGTCTATCCCTGTCTGTGGAAGGACTACCATGAGGAAGTCAACCTATGTAACTTCCATTAATTCTCTTGGAGCAGATTGAGTAAAAGCAGCAACATTCTTGCTTAGGAAGTATGGAAAAATCAGTTTGCTTCTAATCTGCATCACTGTTCTGTTTTATTTCCATATTCATCCACCAAAATTTAATATTTTTAAAGCACCATTGAAATACTTACTTGAATAACATTTGGATTTATACTTTCTTTCAAAGTTAATTGGATACATTTGAAATGTTCACAACTGTGTTGTAACAAAGAAATGTAAAATCAAATTGATAGCCATATGAGCTTGACTAATTTCATTGCAGAATTTACAAAGATCAAATTCTTCAAGCGCCCCAATGTTTAGCCTGCAGAGATCAGGTGAAACTGACTACAGTAGTTGCAAGGCAGATCCGAGCAACACACCTTGACAATGGCATATCTCCGTAATCTGGATATGTACAAGTACATACTGGCTGTAAGTTCATGTGATAATGCCAGCTCTTTGGCTTAGAAATGGAGATAAGCACCAACCCCCAGAGTCAGACATGACTGGACTTAATGTCAGGGGAAACCTTTACCTTTTTTACATGAGCAAAACTTCTATTTCTAGAAACCCTTTAAATAGAAAAATAAACATAGGTTAAAGCAGGGTTTCTCAAGATCTTTGAT